CGGAGGGCTCGCAGCTTCCTGTCAACGTTTGCGCAGGGCGGGGGGAGGTCACCCTCACGAAACCGGATTCAGCAAGTTTGAGGGCAGCCCTGGTTCGGTTGCCTTCTTGTTCTCGCCGGCGTTGCGCCCCTTTGCTGCCAACTCCTACTACGCAGTATCAAGGTTTGTAGCTTCAACTTCCTGCACGCACGAATCTCACAGGAGAGGCAAACAAAGCTTCGAGCTCCTCCAGTCGCAGCTTCTGCTGCAGCTGCTGGCATCCGCCAACCATATGCCGGCCCAGGAGCCGCGGATCATTGGGATCAGCACAAATATGCGACGCCATGGGGCGACACAGAAAAAACCTGTGTGTTAATGTTACTTGGTCATCGCATTCCCAAATCATCGGAAGATGCTTTTGTGGACAAGCCCTCTATATACCAGAGAATCGTCAGCGAAGGTGAATTGCCAAATTTGGCTGTAGCGAGCTTCATTCCAATAAAGGATGACAGTGACAGCACATGCATGTGCCTCTGGGGAGCATCGACAGCCTCTTCCAAAGCGAAACAGCGTGTTCACGACTGCTACTGAACTCTTCAACGCTGTGCCCTCATATTCAGCTCCAGCTGGCTGAAAGTGCCCCATCGCGAACCATGCAAGTTCCGGAAGTGTCAATATGTATGTCGTTCATGATCGAAAGCTTCGACCGATGTCTGGGATTAGCAGAAAGCCGCAACAACGAGCCGAACTTACGATGGGAGAAACATGTTAAAGGCACTGGGGATTCAGGGGCAGAGATCATTAATTGTTTCCAAGTTCTCAATACCACACCCTTGTCCATGTGACTGCTTGGTGAGCATGGGCGAATCTTACCTTCTAGGCCTCGAGCTGCATGCCAAGATGCCAGTGCATCAGCTCGACTTGACCAGATCCCGCGGCATGGCCCAGTGCAGACGTCCCCGTGCCGTCAGGCAGCTGCAAGCTTGCGGACCGATCCTGCCACCACAACATGTGTACACAAAATGCAAAAGCGTTTCTGACCAACTCTCTGTCCGATGCCTGCTTTGCATATGAGCCCAAAGTGGGCTTAGGAGCTGCAAAGCTGTGGGCATCCGGACTTTTGGGCAAGCAGTCTCAGCATGCATTGCAAGTTTCGTCCCTCTGCCTTTGCCTTGCATTATTCAGAAAATGCAACGGGACAGGCTTCTGGCGAGTGAGGCCAAGTGTCCAGCAGGACTGCCAGTACATCGCGGGACCCGGCAGCGGCAGCTGCATGTAGAGGAGTGAGGCCCCCCTTTGCCGGGGTCTCCAACTGCTCCAAGCAAGACGGATGTTCCAGCAATCGCTCCACGACCTTGGGAAATCCAAAGACCCAGCTACGGGCCTGACTCTGACAGTCTTCAGAAGAGAAGAACTATGAAGAAAAGATTGGGCGAAAGCTGTTCTACAACTGTTGGTAACGCTGGCAAGGCAGCTTCTGATCGGGTGAGACGAGAACCGTTCTCAGGCTGCTGCAGCTGCATCTCCACGACTTGCTGCAATGAGGAGTGGCGACCGTCCAGCATCATCCACCTCTCCCAGCTGTTTCTTGACAGTTCGAAGGTCCGCCTTAAGCATGTAGCCTCAGGTCGCGACGACATAGTGACATAGGAGCACGATGGGCCAAACCAGCGGAGTGACGTGCAAGAAAAAATGCCGAGCGGCGCAGGAACAAACCCACCGGGTGAGTGCTAGTTCTGCTACTATTACTGTAAAATTAATTTGCAAGATGAAGTTAGATTCCACCTGTATATCATGTTGTCCCACTTCAGGTTTAACGTGTGCAGCCCAAAGGCCGCTACATAAGTTGGAGTCACATCGTCTCAAACCTCTGCATGTTGTTGCTCTGGAATGTGCTGTCCAAGCCGCTGCAAAGGAAGGGCAGACCAGAGCATGCGGCAGTCAGGAGTGTCGGCGGAGATTTCCGCACGTCCTCGGCATCTCCGTGAGTAGCGTCTTGGCGGCGTAATGCTGAGAAAAGCTCTGTAAACTGTGATTCCCATGTATGATCCAATGCAAAACATTCGAGGATTACATACATCCCGGTGATGCTTTCATTGCCAAAGCAGCGTTTATATACCAGAGTTACCAGAGCCTATTGGCAACGCTAGTCCCAACTTGGAGTCACCAATCGCGGCCGCGACTAGCACACAAGTTCAGTTCTCCCGGATCTCAAACTGCAGATTCGACGTGATTGCCTTTTCTGTGAGCTTGTGCCTGCGGCCGGGGTCCTTCACCAACTTGGCCCCTGCCGAGACCAGCACATCTCCAGCAGCAGGCCGCTTTTCCCGCACGCAAATGTCCAGTGGAGAGAAGCCTCATAGCAACTCAAATTGACATCGTGCAATAGCCACCTCTCACATCTTGCGAGCATGCTGGATGCAGCCAGCATCGCCATCATTGTTCGTGAAATCCAGCTGAACTTTAGCTTGCTTGGTGAGCAGTTGCACAAGGGGACCAGAACCTCAGCTGGACGAGGTGGCCGATCAGAACTGGACAGTCGGGCAGTCGTAATCGAGCAAGTTTCAATACAGCATCCTCTACGGAAGACTGGCACTTCGTTCTTGTTAGTTTGAGGCAGACAGCCAGAGTAGGCTGCCTTGTGCAATGGCGTGTTGCCCTCGCGATCAGCCTGCACTGTTCCAGCCAACATTGCTACAAACACGGACTTGAATCTCTTGGCTGGTCCGAATGCCACCTTCTCAGCAGATGCCCTCTTCTCCAGCAAGAACAGTGCCACCTGGCAGGCCACGTGCATGCAAGGTCTTCTGAGTCTCACACACGCATCCATCCTGCAGGACGGGCGACCTCCGTCGCACCAGTTTCGGCTGCGCGGTGAAGAGGGGTGCACCGCCAAAGATCCTGAAGACGAAGCTGCGGGGTGCTGCTGGGGTTCAGAACGCACAGTAGCCTGCTCCACAACAGACGCAAACAATGGCACCGGCTTGCATTCTCAAAGATACCGGTGGCCCGTCCTCCTAATGGCAGCCGAGAAACAGTGCTGGACACGTCTGGCCACGTGTCACTGCACTGAATGTCGAACAGCTCCTTTTGCGGCACAACTACTGGTATCACTAACTATTAACATTAGGATGATGACTGATGGTTTTTCACCAAAGGCTGCTCTGCATAGAAGTGGCTGGCTCCAACAGAAGCTTAGCCACGTCCAGATGGCCACCGTGGGCAGCAAGGTGCAGCGGTGTAGCCTTCCTTGGCTGGCGGGGACCTCCAACACTGAACAAAGCCTCCCTAATTGACTCATGATAGCCTGCACTGCCTGTAAGGGTCGTCTTGGTCAGTGCAGCTGGATCAGCCGCTGCCCTCAGAAGCCATGCGCACGCATGGACGTGTCCACCCGAGGCTGCCAAGTGGAGCGCAGTCGCTCGGTCCTCGCAAGGCTCTTACCACGCTCCACGCCCAAAAGATCTGTGGCGATGTCGAGCATTTCCCAACAGATTCCAAGCTTCTTCGGTGCAGTCTTGCAGCTGCTGACTGCCTCGCTTTATGGCTGCAGGAATGCCGCTTTGACATGGTGGTATATTATGCCGAAATGCTGTGTTACCTTATCATGCCGAGCAGCTCTCGGCAGCCTGGGCAAAATGCCAGGCCAAGGTGGGCACATCTCCTGATGCCGCCGACTCATGCCAAGAGCGGTCTTTGTGTACCTTTGCATCTGGCAGATGAGGTTGGATGTGCTACCACGACCCGATGCCGGCCTCAGCCATAGGTGATGCGGCAGCTGGGCTCACCTTCGCGCTACCCAGCATGCCACGAACTTGCAATCCTTGGTCTGCTCCTGTCCGGCCTCCTGTGGCTTCTCTTGCAGCTCCGGCCCGTCACAGTCCAAGTCTTCCGAGGCGTCCTCGACAGCTCGGCGAACTGCAAATCAGAAAGTGGTACCTCGCCCTGCGCGAAACAGATCTGAAATGAATCGACTGTCCAGTAATTGAAAATGCTGTGTGCTGCATCACGTGAAAACTCATCATGCGGATTAGCCAGATCAAAGCTGACAGAGAGAGCATACAAAATACAGAAAACACCCCGCACACACACACACACACGCACACACACACACACACTTTCCGAATACCCGCCTTGTCAGGCAGTTCGACTTCCCCGACTGCTTCTCCTGGAAGTAGTGGCTGCGGAGGGGAAGCATCATAACCTTGGCGCGGCGCTTGCGGTGTGGATGCGACCCGGGCAGAAGCAGTTACATGCAGGGGTGCAGGTTCGACTGCATCGGAGGAGAAATGCTATGTCCCCTGACCTCCAGCAGCTCCGGTTGCGGCGAACTCGGCATGAGAAGCGCAGGTCGAGGGCACCTCCTTTTGACACATTCTCACTGTTCAGCCAAGTAATCACTGGCGCTGCACGCTTCGAATCTATGAAGCCTTAACAGCCTAACCATGACACCGCTTCAGATGTGAAGACATGATTATTGCTCGATGCTCAATCTCTTCAACTGAACAAGAAACGGCACACGTCAGCGTAAAGCATGACGCACTACAAGACCCAGCTTCGAGCTGTCCTTCGAGATCTTTGCTGCGTCTTCTTGCCCTAGTGGCTGTGGATCGTCGGCTACAGTCTGGCTGGCACAACAGCCCATGGCGTCGTCCTGCGCGACTTACATCCAATGTCCACATCGTGTCCTACCTGACATTAAAGTTGAAAGATTTGCAAGCACGGGCATATTACATCCATCCATCCATGCATGCACATAAAGAAGCATATGCGTGTGTTTCTATATCTTGTCAGGCATACATGCATGCGCCCTACTAATACTACGCGTTTGATTCAGGTTGAGACAGAAAGAAAGAGAGAGCGATGGAGAGAGAGAAAGAGAGAAAGAGGGAGAGGGAGGGAGGGAGAGAGAGCGAGAGCGAGAGAGAGAGCGAGAGAGAGAGGGAGGGAGACAGAGAGAGAGAGAGAGGGAGAGAGACAGAGAGAGATAAAGAGATATGCAGAGATATGCAGAGAGAGGGGGGGAGTATTGCCTGCACTGGTAAATAACAAGTGCAAACACCCGCCCACCGCCACCCCCGAGCAGTCACGGCTCCTGCTTCCGACTTGCGGGCGTGAAAGCGAAGGCCGGCCTTGCCTCTGCATAGTACGTTTTACGCATGTTATAGTTTGCAATGTTACTATTTTTATTACCATTTTTATTACTATTATTATTGCTATTAACCTTATTATGATGGTTAGTAGTGGTAGTAGTAGTAGTAGTAGCAGCAGTAGTAGTAGTAGTAGCAGTAGTAGTAGTAGTAGTAGTAGTAGTAGTAGTGGTAGTGGTAGTGTATTCCTCCTTCCCTCCCTCCCTCCGCGAGTCGAAAGCCTCGAAGGTATCAGGGGCTGAATATGTCATCATTACACACACACACACGAGCCTTTGTTGATACATAACTCAATGGAACCAGTGAAGTACTGCTACTGCAGCGCTGGGAAAAGCAATGCACCTTTCGACCATGCAACCTCCAAGTGTCCAGCCCTACCTCAATGCACCTCTGCCGGCCTTCATCCACCGCGGGCACGCCCCAAAGCGGCGGCTTCTAAGTCCTTGAACCCTTCACTAATTAGCCTTTCAACGGGCTTCCAGGTACGACGAGACATCACCAGGGCTGGGCAGAGTGTTGCGCTTGAGCGTTTCGGGCAGCCTGTGGTTTCAGAGTCTAATTTTAGCTTTGGCGAGGCAGTGCGGAGCATAGTATGCTGAGAAGCTCGAGCTTGAAGAGCTGCAGCGACGAGCAGGAGCAGGCAGCAGTTTGCCAGACAAAAAGTTGCGCGTGGAATTGGATTCTCGAACTCGGAAAGCGCCAGGCGTGGATGCAAGATCAGAAAGTCAAACAAAGGCAGGCTGCTGTAGATTCACCACGCCGAGGGCCCAAGTAGCCGGAGTGGTGTCCCCGCTGCACTGTAGCAGACGCAAATACTGGGAAAATGGAGGCCATCGGCCGAGAACCAGCTTCTGTGTCTGAGCTGGAAGTGTTCTGGTGTTCCGGACTGTACTGCGGAACGGGCTTGGCGGTTCGGCTTCTTCAAGCCACATCCCGCCACTGCAAAATTTCGAATTCGACCTCAAAACTTGCAGATACACGCATCAGCTTGGCGACAGCCGAAAGCCTCGGCAGAGGTGATACGTCCACTATCTCTGTGAGCTCCATCTTCTGCAGCTCAGCTCTGCGTCTGCGTCTGCACCTGCCTTTCCTTTGGAATTCGGAAGATTTTCGCCAGGAAATTCGCAAGTGGTCGAAGCTTTCCCTTCTGCCGCTCGTCCATTTGCACAAGCTCGTCATAGGACCTGATTGCAACAGACTGGGCTTTTACTCCAAGCGTGAAGTCTTGCCTCGTGCCTTCGATAATCCGGAGCTTCTTCGCGATTTCTAAGCCGATGCTCACCATGACATTCACCGCTTGCTCTCGGGGAGGACCAGGAAAAACTCGGCTCTTGGCCTCCAAGGCCAGTGTCTGAAGCGCGTGTGCGTTGGGCCGCTGCTTTCTGTCAAAGGCCGCAAAGGCATCGTCGGCGTTCTCCTTCAGGGCGAAGCCCAGCATCGCAGCATCCTCCAAGCCGCTGTTGATGCCTTCCCCCGTAGCTGGCTGGACAGCATGCGCTGCATCCCCGATGAGGCAGATCCAGCCTGCTGGATTCAAGGAGGAGCACTTGACGACAACGCCTTCAAAGGTCTTGCAGTCGTAGAACTTGCGGTACGCCTCCTCATCTAGCAAGTTGTCGGCCGCGAACTTGGCGTAGGTCTGAACATACTCCTTCAGTTTCTGCAAGTTGCCATCGGTCGCTTCCATGCTTGTGAGAAACTCCTCATCCGATTCTGGCAATACCCGGAGGGATATGCTCCACTCGCCGTTCGGCTGAAGGCAAACATAGCCTTTGTCACCGAGGACGAAGTGAGTGTCCGGGTTGACCTCAGTTTGTCCTGGAACACCCTTCGAGTTCATGAAGCGCAGCTGGAAGCCCCACGGATCTGCATCTGCGCTGAAGTCAGCCACGTGCTCCTGGCACAGGCGCCGCACCTTGGAGCGGTTTCCATCCGCTGCGACCAAGCGCTGAGCGACTGCCGTCTTCTGCGAGCCATCTGGAAGCTCGAAGGTGCAGATCCGAGCCTGGAAATCAATACTCACGAGCTTGTGCTCCCAGAAGAAAGAGATCTTCTCGTTGGTCTCTGCTGCTTCTAAAAGCAACTGGGAGGCTTGGTCTCGCATGATGCAGGTTCCGTAGGTAGGAACCTTGGCGACAGTCCTGTTGTCGGGCACCACGTGCAGCTCTTTCACTGCGAGCCCGGTCTCCTTGGTTTTCTCGAGGATGGCCGGGTCGAGGGACTCCAAGGCGGACAGGCCCCTAGCGTTCAGCACCACCGGGTACGAGCCGAAGACATTCTCAGGCCGTGCTCGGCCCTCGAAGACTGCCACCCTCAAACCCGCCTTCGCCATGAATCCGGCGGCAGCGAGACCGGCCGGGCCGGCGCCGATAACAAGGTAGTCCGCTTGGATCGACATGATTCAGCTAGCGGCCAGGAGACACGGTCGCGCTGCAGAACTGTTTATGATGGCTTGAGCCATTAGCCGTTTGTGCAGCGACCATCTGCAGATGTAGCGAAGGATGCAGGTTTCACTCACGTTTCACTGACATGACAGAACGGTGAAACCCGGGCAAGGCATCAAAACACACGACAGGCATCACAAGAACTCTGGTTTGGACATCAAGTCATGTCGGAGACATGGACCAAAATGAAAGACAATACTGCGATTTCCGATGCCTGCACATTAATCTGGGGCGCCTTTAGGATTTCCGAATCTCGCGGACCCTGCATACACTGTCAGCATAAGAAAGGATCAGAAAGGCGACCAGATGAAGGGAATCAAAAATTAAAAGACATGACGGCGAAAAAGACCTCAAATACGATGCCTGCTCAGAATCTACAGAATGCTCTTGCACTTGGTTGCTGCTGGACCAGAGCACCACAAGGCCAAAGAACCGCGCGACCGGACTACCACTGAAGTTGATGCCTGGGAACTTGTACTGCGTGAAAGGGTGGACTGCGGCTTGTTGAGACTCAAGAAACCTTTCAACGCTTCGCTTTCCTGCAATCTTTCTTGCTGCCCATGCCGCAGCAAGACGCTCGATTCATGTGTGACAGCGCCTACACACACACACACACACACACGAAACAAGATTCATAGTTTACTGTGCGATGCTTCACATGTACATATGCACATCTGCCCCCGCCCCCCCAAAAAAAAGGAAACCTTTGCATGTACGTATACATATGCGCCTGTCGGGCACGGGTATAGCTGTAATCTTATGTCAGAACGACAGGAATAACATGGGACTGATGCGAGTAGTAGCATCATCTAACTGTTGCACAACGACGCCGGCACCTGATAAATCACCTTCATGTGGAGCGGGAGCATCTTCTCTTGCTTCTGAAGGAGGCCTTCCTTGGGAGATCTTGGGAGCAGCGGAGCAAGATCCGAAGTGGAGAAGTTGTCTTTTGCAGGAAAACATAAGTTGAAGACCAGGTTCAAGCCAGTCGAACAAGCTGCTCTGCTGCGATCCTGTCCTCGGCATGACGCGACAGGGCAAGGATGCAGGGAGAGCTAGAGGGTACAGCAAACATCCATCTAGAGGTCGAGCATGTGTTCGTACCCAGATTCATATTTTATGCTTCACCGAAAATGATCTCACAACAGGTTGCTCAAGCACAACCTGAAGCCAAATCCAAGGCCAACAGTTCGACGGCTCTTGGCTTAAAGCAGCTTGCTTCCATGAGCGTGTTCATCCGTTTGATTCAAGAAAGCGTGGCAATCCTTTAACATCCTTTGACTGTGGTCTACCCACGCCAAGCTAAAGGAACGCGAGGCCGCAGCCAAGCTTGGACTCGGCGCCAAATCCAAGAGCCGCTGCTCTTGTGCACCCTGAGCGGCATTTTGGCGGTGAGTAATTAACACGCAATCAACCGTTTACCGTTCAGGTCACGTCTGCGAACTGAGGTAGAAAGTCAAAGGCGCGGACAGATCTTCTTCGAGCATTGCCAAATCACCAGTGAAGTCTACACGCCAGGTGACGCGAAGGAACCTGTGCAGAATTTCTGGACACCATCAACATCGCACAAGCTGCATGAACAGCGAGAACCTCTTCAAACTCTGAAGAATCACAGAAACAAGGAAACTTCCCTAGCTCCCGCATGCTCACTCTGACCCATGGTGCACTCGAGAAGCTGATCCCCGCAGCTGCAGTGCGAGGGCAACACGGTCAACGACTGCAGCAGCAAGCCAAACACCTAAGAATTTGGACATACTGCTGGCTTCAAGCACAGCTACACGCGGCCCACAACGAATGCCTGAAGGGGGAAGCCCATGTGGTCGCGAAGTGAAGGTCACTACAACATGTGTGTTCTTAGGTATTGTCAAAACCGAAGGGTGCAGCCTTCCACCGAGTTAATGATCGTCGTCACCGCAATCGTTGTGCTAGGGGCGGCGGCAGGAATGGGCATCGGCAGTTATCATTGTAGTAGTGGTAGTGGCTGTGGTAGCGGTAGTGGTGGTAGTGGTGGTAGTAGCAGTAGTCGTCGTCGTCGTTGTCGCCGTCGTCCGTCGTCGTAGTCGTCGTAGTCGTCGTAGAAGCAGTAGTAGTAGT